AACTGAAAACTATCTCAATTGATATAATTTATTTACAGCAATTAATAAATTTATCTTATTACTTTTCACGTAAGAAAATATTCTTACAATTAATTAGTAAAATAGAAAGTTTAACTTCAAAGTTTCTAGATTCTTGTTTAGAATAGAAACACTTTTAGCATCATGCCTCATATTAATAATTCATTTTATCTTTGCATCAAGATTTTTTATTAGGATTCACAATAGATTAGTATTGAAATATGATCTCAAAATTGAGTCATATGATCTTATATAATTTCAATTTTATTATAACTTATGATCATGAAATTGTCCAACACTGCAATAGATTAGAGCCGAGTTTTGTGATTTTTGAATTTATTTGCTTATGTTCACATCATAATATTGTGTTATACAAGCACGTGATTACGATAAGTTTGTTATACTGCACCAAATGTAACAGTGATGCGTGATTTCAAAAATCAGGTGAGGACAAAGCCACAAATGAATACCAAAATGTCAAGAATAGCAAAATATTCATGAAATGGAAAGACAGAAAGTGTGATGGAGTTTTTCTAGAATCTGGTCAAACATTAAATTAACATTATTCTTTATTTGCAGATCATTCTCATTCAATTGATTGATGATAAGTTTAATTTTGTTAGAAATTTTGGTATTTTGTATGAAGTGGATAAAACTAACCAGCAATATCATCTTATTTTTATATGTTTTGTAGCGTCACCCACGAACCAAGAATCGAATTCAGAATTTTTGCGGGCACATAAGTAGAGTCTATGTAATAGTTTCGAATTATGGACCCTATGAAGAAAAAGCTCATTAATACGTAATTGCAGAAATATTGTAAGGAGCTAATTCCTTGTGCTTATCCCTTAACAATGATTAGTAATTAAAATTGAGATCCTGAATTTTCAGCTGAAAGGCAAATCTGATTAACAGATTACCGAAGCATTATTCCACACCCTCACCATATGAGAAATAAAAATTCAGTCGCACCTCGATATAGTCATAGGGCTGGGAAACAAAATTGGGTGTGACTAAGGTGATAGTGACTATAGAGAATTTAAATTTCGTAAATTTTATAACGATAATAAATTGGTGAATAAAAAAGGGAGTTTATCCATAAATTGTTACTACGTATATCGAGAGTGACTATATCGAGGTGTGACTGTATGCCAATTGATATGCAAGTTGCATGAAATTCTGTCCGAAGAACAAACCAATGATGATGCGTAAATTTTTAATCAATCCAGCAAAACAAATTTGAAGCAAAGACAAAAAAATGAAAAAAGACGGAAAACGGGTGTTTAAATCTATCTTGGAGCACTGATTAAAAATGCCGGAAAGGCAATTTTATATATAACCTTGATCTCCTTCCCAACCCTAACTCCAACTCTAACGTTAAAATTACCTTTTAATATATCATGTGTAGGACTACGCTTTAACCGCTCTCTTTTTTTTGCACAATTTTAGACTTGAAAACTTAAGGGGTAGCCTATTTTTGGGTTAACTTATTATATTTTTTAAGTCTTGAAAAATGGGGGAGCTTTATTTTCGGTAGCATTTCCCGAAAAAACATCTCCATTGTTAGGAATGTGACGACGAAAAGTGCAAGTAAAAGAATGTCCGTTGCGATTAGGTTTGTTATTTTGAGTTGATTGGCTTGTTAATTTGATTAATCGAATATTCGATTTTTTGTTCTTAGTTTTGCAAAGTAAAAAAAGACTTATTTTTGATTTATTTCTCACTAGATGCTCCCGCCCCCATTTCTATCGCTATTCTCTAATCTCATTGGTCCACATTAATCAATATTGGATTTAAATAAAGATGATTTAAAATCATTTGCCAATACTGACATTAATCATAGGTTGCAAAAATTGAGCTTTATACGTATATAGAGCCGGAATTAGATCCAGTATAATATATCGATATGGCAAATTACACTAATAAAGAGACCAATAATAATGAATTTAAATGGCTTAAACAAAACGACGTCTTGTCTTAGTTTCGTCTTACATATGAATTATTGCTATGCAAATAAAATTTCTTTTTTATGGAAAACCCGATATAAAATCAACGAGAGAATTATTCCCTTATAAGCATTGGTTTGTGTTTACGCAAACTTTCGGCTACTCGAGTAAAAAGTTCATTGAGTTTTTTTACATTCTCTGCAAGCGTATATTGACATTTTAAGACATCTCCGCTAGTGGATCGAGAAAGATATTCTGTTGCAATATTCGCCATTTGTTGTAGCGGTTGGCCTCCATCAGAACCGAACATAACTGTATATAAATACAATGGGGCCCTAATAACGTAAATTATTAGAAAATCTGCTTCATTATGGGATTATAACAATATCGACATAGCGTATATTTACCCTTTGTTAACCTCTCTTTGGCAAAGACTTCGTAGTTCAGAATCTGGTGTAATGGCTTCACCATCAGACAGAAAAATAATCACGTTGGTTCTAGTAAATCAAGAATATTTACCGTTACATATCATGAAATGATAACGATAACGATAACGATAAGATTTAACGTTAATAAGAACTTACTTTTGCCGATCGTAATATTTTTCAATAATTTCAGCTGCTTTGTTTATTCCTGCATGGAAAGAAGTACCTCCATCTGCATCGAATTTCATCATCTTTTCTAAAAGCTGTTCTGGATTAGATAGACTTTGATTTTCAAAAACTACAGTTGCCGTGCTTTCAAATAAAATTAGAGAAGCTATATCACGATCTACAGCTGAGAGCCCAACGTTAGTAGCTTTTAGAGAATTTTTACGCGTTTCAATAAAACTATACACAGCTTCATAGACAGCGCCTAATCGATTGTTATGATTATGCTGCAAACAAGTTGTTTGTGAGTTGCTACAACGAGGTCGGCAATCACTAGAAGACATAGAGCCACTTCTATCAATGACGAAAACAACATGAAAATCGCCAACATTAGTCGCAGGATTTTCGCAAGAAAAATGGTGACCATCTGTTGAAATATATCCAACATTTCCTGGAGGATTTGAACTTGGATTTAATTCAGCATGAAACAGTTCCTGAGTACAGAATGACCTTATTGGATCTCTTCCAGTAACGTTATCAACATTCTTGTGCTTTTCATCGATACATTCATGATCACATTTTTTGAAACTTTCGCGGTCATCTCTCGAATATGGATCTTTATTTATTTATTCAAATGGTTATATGTTAATATAAATCTGATATTAAATTCAATACGCAAAAAAACTATTATCAGTTACCTTGGAATTTAGTCCTTTCCCAGAAAACACGATGAGATATATAATCTTTCTCGAGAGTCGGGTTAGGACTTATATTTGCTGAAGTTAAATTGTATTAATACATGCGAGAGAAAATAAAGAGAAATTCTAAATCATCTAACCCTTTATGTGCTCCAATATCCCTTCTTTTTTTCCACCAGTGAGACTTTTGCAAACATCTGGATCTTTGCAGTAATCTATATGACGATGATGACCTATACTTTCACAAAGCTAAAGATTGAATTAATATAAGTCTTTTTATGTTGTTGGAAAATTCTAGATATGCATACCTTATGACAAAGCACAAAATCTCCTCTATCACCTATAGTTAATCGATGTCCTAAAACAAATCATTCATTTTAAATTTCGGTTATTTTTATTTCACTTGCAGGTAAAATATTTACCTTCAAATTCGAATTCTTCTTCTTCACATGTGAATGTTGTCAAGAGCATATTTCCATGAACAGTGTCTAAAAAATAATCTAAATTAGTCGAATATAAATAAAGTATTAATCAGATATCTTCGCATTTTTTACCATGTTCACTATTATGTTCTCTTCCGTGATCATAAGGCAATGTACACTAAATAAAAATTGATTAGTAAAAAATAGAATTTAACACTATTTCTAATCGAAACCTACATAATAAGCGCAATTTGGACATTTAACATCGCAATAATGAAAGATTTCAAACTTTCTGTTCTCTTCAATAACGTGTTTGCCTAAATCGTCTGGACAGGATGCATCACATTCGTGTCTTTTCTTGATCTCATGTACATGTTTCCCTTCATGCTTGAACTCATTTGGAGGTATCTTGATGCAACAAGGAAGTCTTTGGAAAGTTTGGGAATACTAAATTATTTATTTTAAATGATGTTTAGTATATCATTATTTGTATATAAAAGACTCAATAAAAAAAAGAAAGACGTTTTTACTTTAGTAAACATAAAGCTGCCAAATTTATTCACATATTCTGCTTCTTCCATTACTATTGCGGTTGGTTCAGTAACAATTTTACAAATTCCCAATCCTTCGCAATGGTTAGGGCAGTGATGCTCTTCACTAAAATTTTCACACTTACAAATGAGATAGTTTCATAAAAAGAGAATATTGAATGAAAATTACAGACCCGCAAAAATGATCCACATTTTCTTCTAATGCATGAAAGTGTTCTCGACTTTCGCATCTTCGACGACATGTAGCTATTGGGCATTCGATTGGACAAACTTCATTCTCGCATTTATGTACTTCATGAGATTCTTCACAGGGAATCTATTCAAGATGTAAAATTACATGACAGTTCGACATATAAACTCAACTATCCACAACTTACTATGCAAGTATTACGACATTCATAATTTCCTTTTTGAGTATCAGCCTTTAATGAACATGGAGCACCGCAATAATGACGGGTTGCTTCACACAGATGAACTTCATTTCCTGTCGTAGTTTCATGGCCAATATCTTTTGTGCACTTTAACTGACAATTTCTCTTTCCATCATAAATACAAGATGCCCCGCATGAATGACTCGCTGAACAAGCGTGGTGTCCTTCATGTCCAGCAAAATTAATACATTTTGGTATAGTTTCGTCAGTATGAATTTCTTGAAATTGGCAAACTGAATGGCATTCATGATCAGTCAAACAATCGTGAGTCATGTCGTTTTCATTATCATTATGTCGACTTGCTTTAAGACATGCGAGTCCACAATTCTCACATCGTAGACGACAGAAATTCCAAAATAACTTCAGACGAGTAATTTCTTGTTCTAGAGCATATTTGGCAATAATAATTTCATTGTGATCATTTGGAAATCGAGAAGTATTCTGGGAAAACCACTGTTGAACGCGATTAACACGTCTGTCGATAATAAACTTATAAAGTATCTCTAAACGATCAAACCATTGAGAATCGGATGATTGGTCACGAGTTTGAATGTTTTCTTCAAAGAAATTTCTTAATTCTATAGAAATTAGAATAATTTAATTCAAATTCAAATTTTGTCATTTAAACAATCAAATACATGCCTAACGAAAGATCGATAAGATTCATATCATCTCTTAGCAAAACAAGACCAACGTCAGGCATTAAGTTAATTGGCTCGTCAATATTGTCAAAAATATCTGATATGGATACTTCGGGATCAAGTATTAATTTTCCATCATCTCGATCCTAATAAAAAATTTATTAGATATTTGATTAGCTATTCAAAAATAACTATTTATATAACCTACCACTAAATGCTTTATATTATATGCGGGCTGTGTGGTATTTTCTGATGATAAAAATGGGTCTTCTTCTTTTTGCTCAAAGCCTTGAGATATCGCATCTTTCATAAACTTTTTCAATTCCAATGT